CAGCGCGGGCGAAGACGCTGGAGGAGTTCCTGCGGATGCACGGGCTCTCCCTGGCCGACAGCACTGCCCGCACCACTGGCATGAGGTACAGGTAAGGCAGCGTGCCAGCGCCTGCCGGGGCGGCGAGGGCCGAGCGCGCCCAGCCCAAGACGCGGGGACAGAGCAGGGGATGGTGCTTAGTACTGGTTTTACACCTCGTCGGGGAAAAGCCCAGCTTTCGCCCGTTTCCCTGTGGTGCGCTGAGGTGGGGAAGAGCTGGAGTCCTCGGCAGGAAAGGCGATCTTGCGCAGCGCGTGCGGGAGAGGCTGCGGCAGGGCAGCGCCGTTGCCTCTTGCTTGCTCGGTGAGCTTTGATTTTCTGACTTGATTTTCCCTTTTGCGGCTGGGAAGCTGCAAGTGCAAACACACTCTGTGCTTTTAAAGATCAGGCGGTTGGAGGAAACGGCTATGGAAACACTTTATCCGTCTGACAAGCGGTCATTGCAGAGCAGGCGCTCCATTAATTTTGCGTGCGGGTCCCGGGTAGGGCGTGAGGCATCTCAGGACTTAAGCTGACTTTTGTCCTTCTCGGAGCCGTCGGCCGCGGCTCCTCTGAGGGCACGTGGCTGGTTTTCCCAGCGCATCCTTTCCCACTCTCCCCCAGTGGTGCAGGTGGGGCGATGGGCTGTGGAGCCGGGCACCCCCAATAACCCAGTTCAGGCTTGGGCCAGGGGCACCGGGGCTGGGGACGGCGGCTGTTCCCCACTATGAAAAAGCAGGGGTGCCAGGCGTGCCCCTTGCCCCCACCCTCCAGGCGCCGGCAGCTCTGCCGGTGCCTGCCACGCTGTGCCGTGCCACGCCGCGGGTCAGGTTCCCCTCTGCTCGCAATGAGAGAGGTAACATTTACTCGGTGGCAAGAGCTCATCTAATATTCATGGGGTGGTTATTTATTGATGGGGAGAGGCTTCTGTTGATGGGGAGAGGGGGGGCATGTGCCTGCTGCCCCCAAAATCTCTGGGGTTTCTCCTTCTCCAGGAGCTGCTGATTGCTGCCGGGTCGTCCCCCCCCCCTCGCACGGGGGCTGGAGCCAGCGGGCATGCCTGGCTAAGGAGCTTTGCAGTAGAGGGGAGCGGAGGAGATTACAAGATTTCTCATTAGGTCAGGGCCGAATGTGCGTAATTTCTGCCGCAAGCAAAGCCCCGGCCCCGCTCCTTGCTCCTTACCTGGGGGGGCAACAGCCAGTGAGGGCAGCCTGCACGTGGCCCCGGCCACAAAACGGTGCCGTAGCGTGGCCGGCTTGCATCCCTCCTTCGGCGTCCCGATCCGCTTAGCTCGTGCCGGGCAAAATCTGGAGACCGCAGCCCCGAGGGGGGCAACCCGTCCGGCTTCGGCAAACCGCCGGCCTCTACCCCTGGGAGAGCCGGACGGACGGCGGCATCGCCGCCGCCTGCGCTCTCACCCCACAACTGTGTATTCGGCAACGCGCGAGCCCTCCTGCCGGGAGATTTTTGTTTCGGGGGGGATGCTGTGCTGACCCTTTCGCCCCCGGCACCTCAGCCCCCCCGCTGCACCCCAAACCGGGCCTGGGCTGGAAGTGTTGCCCACGGCAGGGGGTGCCTTTGGGGGGGGGCACCCACAGCGGCATTCCCCCTCCCGCCCCCCCCAACCTGCCCAGGCACCGCTTGCTCGCTTCCTGAGCTCATCAAATATTGAGGGCAGGAGGGCTGACGGGAGCCATCTCCGCGCCCGCCGCCTGGCAGCCCCCCACCGTCACGTTGGCGGAGCGGCGGCGCGCGGGAGGAGCTCCCCGCCTCACCCGGGGCGCCGGCTAAATTTAGGCAGCTGGCGAGGCTGCCCGCCGGAGCAGCATGCAGGTCTCCTTTGTGTGCTCCGAGCACAGCATCAAGAGCCGGAGCGCGGAGGACCGGTTGAACCGACAGAATGCCGGCAGCCCCAGCCTCGGCACCCGTGGCAAGTTCCGGGCGGTGGCCATGGTGGCCCGCAGCCTGGGGCAGCTCTCGGTGCAGAACGCTCCCTCCTCCAGCGAGTCCAGCATCAAGCAGCCGGGGATGAAATACCGGTAGGAGACAGACGGGCAGGTTTGCTCGGCTGCTTTCTCTGTTCTTCACTGAGATCTGGGCGGCGGGGGGTCCTGGGGGGGGCACACTGGTTGTGCTGCACTCCCCTAATCCCCAGCTCGAGTCCTGCTCCGTTGGTTTCTCGGTGCTAAAAGTGCTGACCGTGTGCCTCCGGCGCCTTCCTCGCTGTTTGCTCCTGTCCCCTCTCGGGGCGGCTTTCGTCCAGCCTCACGTAAAACCGGCGGGATGGGGCGGGGGGACCCTCAAACGCGAGGTAGGATTAGCAGCATCCCCAGCGCCTGCCGAGCCAGGGGGGTCTGAGAGTCGCGGCGCGCGTTAATCCGTGGGCTGCCATGGCATGGTTACGGTGCTGCCGGAGCCTCGCCGCCCTGCGAAGCGTGGCGGAGCTGTAAGCCGGGATTCGGCCCTCGGCTGCCCGCAGTGGGTCTGGAAACGAAGGGCGGCGTGTGCACGTTGTGCCTCCCCCAGCCAGCACCCACTGGGTTAATACGCTCCACGTCCCTGGCGCTGGAGCGGAGCGCCGGGCGCTCCCCCCCCCCCCCCCAAGATAGTGGAACCCC